TCTGGCCAGTCTGGACGGACAAGGTACACAACACAGCAACTTTTTTAGACCGCACATTTTTTCCATATAGTTTGTAAGACAGCGTATTTTGTTGTTTGACAACATTCATAGAAGTGCCTGAATTATTAATGAGATCGTTTGAAACTCAAAACCTAAACGATTTTTAATAAATGCACTTGCCATTTTCCCATTTTATCCTCACCGCGTCTCCTACTCTAATCAGCCTCTGTCATTTTCTATTTTTTGTGGCTTTAGAGCTTTTTAGAAACACTTGAGAACCATAAACAGCCACTTGGATTCAGCCATAAAAATGTTGTCCACTCATCACTGCCCCAGGGGTGAGGGGGGGGGGACTGTCACTGGTTGATACAGTGTTTGGCCTTGTAGGAAAGAACACAGACACTACCTTGTTACTAGCAGCCTGTGTAAAAAAAGAGTTGTCTAGTTTTAGCTGTGTTGTCCTCACCTCCCCTTCTCACTTTCTCTCATGACGATGACGTAATCTGACCCCAGTACATGAAGGTATATGACTCAGGTGTTGTAGAGGGTGAAAGCATCTGCAGCGATGCACACGTTCAGCAGAAACGTCTGACCTTTGTGTTTGATATGGAGAAGGAGTGTTAGCCAACGCCACACTGGAAAGAAACAAGGGTGTGAGGAAAGAGAAGTCACGGGAGTCATGTGTCCTCTTTCTCTTTACAACCGAACGCTCTCCCGTCGGTGTCCAGCTGTGACGCAACATACTATAAATCAATTTGGATTGTTCTTCTCTCTTTACGGTTACTCAATCAGTCTCATAGAGTACTACTTTTACTACCAAGTGTGAGGTCAATACAAAAAAAATATAAGTGTTGAAACATTTAATTAATTTACTTAAATCAAATTCTCATGCCCTGCCCTGTCTCACTGATTAGGCCTGTTTAAACTTCAAGTCAACAATGGAAAGCACATTTCATTCATTCATTGATTTAAAGGCAAACGCAACTAATTTTACAAAGTTCACTCATCGTGGGTTAGAAGTTGTACACTGTGGATCTGGAGCTTTCAGAAGTCTGAGAAGTCCAAATTAAGAAAAACTGGGGGCATGAAGCAAGGGTAGAAGACAATATCTTCTACCCTTGCTTCATGCCCCCAGTTTTTCTCCAGATCCAGATGGGACATGTAGGAAAGTGTGAACTTGTTTTCCTTTACTGATATCACATGCATGTCAATGTTTTCTCCTCAGCTGTGTTTGGCTCGTACCTGCGTCCTGATCTGGTCCCTGCCAACCCGTCCTTCTACGAGGGCTCCTCTATGGGAACCATCTCCACTTCCTCCATCTTTGTCAACGTGGACAACCAAACAGAAGAGAGGTACGGTGTCTAGTTGCTTTCCTTTTTCCTTTTTCCGGATACTTTCATTATATCATGACACTGACGTGTTGTTTTAGCGGTGGAACGTGTAGTTTATCACTCTAAAACCATGATGCAAGGGCAATTTGCCACACCCAACACACACAATCTCACACAGTCCTGTATTATTGGCTCTGACGTCACATGCTCTTATTGGTGACGTGTGTCATGGAGCAGGTGACTCAGCTGGCTTGGCAACGGGCTTCCAGTATATATACACATACTTCCTACACAACTTACAGACAGTTAAAGGATGAGTGGGTACTGTCACTCAGTCTAATTTACAAGACAAAATTCTTAACCAGCAGTTCTTACAGCCGAATTTATCCAATGTCTGAATGGTACAGTGTGGATAGGATTACCTCCTATTATGTTGTAAAATCTGATACAGATGTTACAGTATAATAATCTAAGTATGATATTAACAGGTTTTATTACACCTACACCTACACGGGCACAGTTTCATTTGGCTTCTCACTAGAAGCTTCTGAACACTTTGTCCTCTGCCCTCTGCCTGTTTCCCATCTTTCACCTCTTCTTCTGTCCAGCAGTGTCAGGTTCAGTTGGCTTTCTGAAGCACCATTGTGTGGCTTGCCCGGTCTTGTCCCCTCATCAGTCACCTGCTGCTGCAGTGACTTTGTTCTGTCAACTGTTTTCATAAATATTTAAACAGCTTCTTTGACACGGACTTACTTAGTGCCATTATGCTGCAGAAAGACTGTGACAAAAGAGGACAAGCGGTGCTGTGGCGACTGTACATCCACCAACAATAATCCCTGTCTGACAGCCGCTCTGCCTGTTAAAGTAGTGACACCACATGTTACGCGTCATCGTATTCATCCATCTCTAAAATGGGACTTCTCTGCTTCTCTCTCTACCTGGCTTTAATTTCGACTTTGAACACTGAAAGTAGTCAGTCAAATGTCATAAAAAGGTAAATACAGAATCCCTATGATGTATAAAGATAGACAGCTCTCAAGTTGCCCCCTGGTGGTTGAATCAGAACTGTAAAAGAAATGGACGATGAGCAACATTGCACTCTGTCTCCTGATGGTCAAACTACATTTAAAGCCATATATTATAGTGATGCATTCTCATAGTACACTCGGGTACATAACTGAACTACATTTACATGTTGCTAATTTTATGCTTTTTATTTGGTTTAACTGAGGTATTACTTTTCAAGTTTCCGCCCACTGACTCAAATCAGCAATTTCTGAGAAAAGCTAACGTGCATTTGTATTGGCTGCACGAGGATAAAAGCGTAGTTTTGGTTTTTTGTCTTTGGTGGCTTCAGGTGCACAGGTGATGGCTCAGCAGGCTGCTTTTTAGAGAGACTTCACTCACATACATATCTGACATATTTTAAAGCATATATAACACTCCCAGCTCAGTTAAGATGGTAAGATTTTGTGACAACATCTTCCCTCAAGCTAAAACCAGAATTATTATTATTTTTTTTACATTTATATATATATATTTTACTTATTTCTTATTCTAAATGTGACCACTTGTGCAACATCGTCTCCCAGCAAAGGTCTAATTTTTACCATTGCGGTCAAATCTGACCATTCTCGAGGAGACTTTGTTCATTTCCTGTGAGATATTTCGACTATGAGCCAGACGCGTTTCCCATCCTGCTCGCAGTCGGTTCATCTCTTTGTTTCTTTGATGTCCCAGTCTCTGCAATAGTCTGTGATTTGTTTCTGGAGAGTTTGTTTTCATCCGTGCACTGTTTATACAGCTGCTTTATTTTAACTGCCTTTGACCCAGACAATACACTCTCAGGGCTGTCTACTACATACTGTAGGTAATATGAAAATATCTTTTTTTTTCCAGAGATGACGTTGCATCCAGCTCCACGTTTACCCTGGAGGACAGTGCTATCTGCCTCACTTCAGAGCAGAGCACCATGGATGTGGACATAGACCGTGATGATGGATCTGTTCTTGACGTCTACTTGGTGGGTTGTTTCTTCATTTGTTATTTCAGGTCACTGTCACATTGGGGTCAGTCTTAGGAGTTTGTGACTTGTTTTGTCCTCTTAAGGTATTCAGGTGTTGATTATCTCTGCGTATGCATGTGTAGCTGGTTCACATTTAGAAAACAGGCCTAAACTACGCTGACAATAATAATTTTCTCTCTCCTCTCCTTCAGTGAAAATAGCAGCTTTACAACCTTCCCTTCCTCCTGCCAATCATAAGACAATCGCCACACTCCATTGGACGGGCAAGCTGGCCTTTGACTCCACTTCCAGTGCTGCTAGATCCATGTTGCCACTTGTATTGCCAACACATAAAAAGACTGAGATTCTCCATTGGTTGATGGACTAAGAGAAGACACCAACAGAGTCACAGTCATGGACATCTGCAGGAACCATGTGAAATATCATGTGATGTGATGAACATCAGACTGAACTGAGTGTCGCTTTTTAGAGCATGCGTCAACACAGTGCCATTAAGTTTTATATATGTATACTGTTTTCATGGCCTACACGAAGATCTAAACATTTACTATATATACACACGAGGAGAGGTAGATACATTTCTTTAAATGTTTTTTTTCTGCTGACGAGAATTAAATGAAGGAGACTTTCTTGTTTGCAACTTCATTGGTTGCTAATCAGAGGAGAAAATGTTTACAGTGAATTTATGATGGCATCTTTGTCCTCGATGAACGGGGATGTGACAGTGTCACACAAAGGACACAAGCCAGTTTGTAGCCACAGCCAACACAGATGAGAAAAGACTCACATGAACAGACTTGATGGATTCTGAAGCTCCTGAGGCCCAACACAGACTGTGACGTGGTTAAAGTGGCCACCTCATCCTATTCCTAACTGGGCTGTTATTTGTGCTGCCCTGACAGGAACCTGAAGCCCTGGCGAAGGGCTGCTGTTAAGTGAGAAAAGACAGTTACTGGATCTTGGATGAAGCACAGAGCGGAAGGATGATGCATTCGCTCTTGATAAAAAGGCACTTTTGACATTGGTTATGATTACTGTAAGAAATATTTTTCTCTGAAGAAGTTGCTTAAGTGGGTGGGCTACCTGACATAAGCACAGATTTGGATATGTGAATATGCACTTTTTTTTCTTCCTCTTTTTACTCTACAGATGCACACCTCTGTAAGTCATTGATACATGTACAGAGACAGTGACGGAACATTGTAGATCATTTTTGATGTGGAGCTACTAGTTTTGTGAGGTTTGCGTCATGAAATGCTTTTACTCAGGATATCCTTTGATACTGAATAAGTGTGTCCTCTTTAAGAAGTTCTGAGACAGGCCTCCTACACTTAGAAGCTGTCCGATACCTCTACATCAAGACCATATCCAACTATAAATGTTGAATTCCACGATCACACGTTGGTTGAGACCATAATTTATTATGTAAATCTCAATATTTTACCATTTGCTGAAAAAATACTTTAATCGCTGAATGTAAAGACAATACATATTTATATATATATATATATATAAATATATATATAGAAGAGACTCCTATAAATAAACAGCTTAAATTCAATGACTTGGTTTTTTTTTGTTATTTTTTTTACAGAAATGGCCCTCACATTCACAATAGTGGCACTTAAACAGTACACTGCACCTTTTTCTGTTGTGTAACAATTTTAATTTACAGAACATTGTCAAATTGCATTACATTTAGTGCAAATAATAACACTTCTGATGTACAACTTAGAAATATACAAAGTGTGTAGATTGACAAAATATCAAAATTAAAAACACTAAATGCATTCTTCAGCTGACATTGCTTGTAGATCTAGCTATTGTAATCATCAGCAAAACAATTATCCAGATCCTTCCTAACATCAGACCCCTTCGACCAAAAAAAAATCTGATGGTGAATTTTCAACCACTCAGATCTACTGATTGCAAAACTCCCAACTTTTGATGGCATAAAAACAACCTAGAGTAAATTTAAATCTTGAGGTAAGATGATGTGAAATGCTGACCCTTTCCCCCGCCGCTCATTTCAGTGTTGATAAATGCACATCTGGTGGCTGTACAGTAGAGAAAACCAGGATTTTTAGGGTTCATCCTGGTGTCTAAGGCATTCTGGGGGTAGTTTATCAGTCAAAGGGCAAGAGGCCACTGCACTGTAGTGTGGCATGTGAAATGTAACATTAGAGTATAACTTAGAGTGTAGGGTGTAGATGATATCTTACTCAACATTTTACAACTTCACTTTATCCTGCACAACAGCAGCAGGACTAATTTACAAACTTGACACTCGGGACTGGACAGACATTTTTTTCTGCCTCATCAGGGGCTGAAAATTGTGAAAAACAACCTCGGCTGTACAAAATGTATCCACTCATCTCTCAATGAAAGAGAGGAATCTTTATATCAGACACTATTGCTGGCTATTTGCAAATATCTGTCACAGAACCGTGTGTGACGTGGAGGTCAAAGACAGATACATGCTGACAATAGGCTGCAACTTAGCATCTATAGACCACAGTCAATTACATCATAGATATCCAATTGATTATCAGTTCAACTGTGTCAAAAAATATTGTCTAACACAAGTTAATTAGACTTAGAAAATGCTCTTTATCTCCCACTTCAGGTATCCCTGGCCCATTACTGTCATCAAATTCAAGCGTTTAACAGTCAATTCACATTTCTCATATTGGTAAACTAACTGAAAACTTATTCTGTTTTCTCTGTACAATACATTGTGTCCATGGTGCTCTCTGGAAGCTACTTTATAACAATCTAGAAATATAAAGATTTCAAAGCTTTAGGCTCTGGGCCCCCATCAAAATGCAAAGAGAGTAATCACTAGAGGGACAGGAGAAGGCAAGAAAGAGGAGATACTGTACCACACCTCATCAATGCTTTTCCTGTCAATATCTACTTTCCTCTCTCATGGTAGTTACTTTAGCAGCAGCAAAACAAGTAGCTGTAATACTAGTGATTAAAGCAAACCCAAAAAAGTCAAGAAGTATGTAATCATAAGAAATGTACAAAACAATTTACAAAAAAAGCAAATAATCGGTAACAACCATTCAAAAACCACTTAGGAAACTCTTGAATTTACATACAAATGTACCAATGACCAACAGATGGTGTTAAGCCATTATAATGTGGCTGGGATGACAACTACTGATGGATTAAAGCCGTAAAACCAGTCTCTTCTACAAGCAGGTGTCGAGTGGGACGTCCAGGATGATATGGTGTCCTGCCTGTAGTAAGTTTGAAAACACATTCTAATTGACATGTGAACAGGTCATGTAGTCACGGAAAGCTTGTTCATTGCTGAACAGTGTAGCCTCTCCAGTGGGCAACCCTGGCCCTCTGCAAGCCTGAAACAAGAGGGAAGATAAAAGTCAACAAAAGTTAACAAAACTGAAATAACAGATGCATCTGTTGGCTTTTCCTTGCTTCAAATTACAGGTATAGCACCAGCCAAGATATATTCCTTTCAACAGCCTCAGTAACAGTGTGATAAATGCAATACCTATCTGTTTAATTGCTTTCTCAGTTGTAAAACAAGATGTGTTTGGGTTCCTGGTTACCTCGTTGTGTTCAGAAGAGGATGGGCTTCCCAGCAGTTTTATCCTGGACATAGGAGGTGAAGCGCTTGAGGAACTTGGGATATTCTCTCTTGGCCACGGCTCTGAGGACTGATGCTGGAGCCCAGCCTCCAGGGTTTACTGAAGCCACACAGAGGAACATTATCAGGAAACTGCATGTACGTGCTAACTTATAGTACAATTCTAAGTCATAAACCCACAGTGTACAGACTCAGTACACACACTGTGGTCTAGGGTGCCCTCTAGTGAGAGGAAATGTAATGCTTATTTTTCTCAAATGAACTCCCATAACCTGCCTGACTTCTCAAACAATAAATTGTCTCAGGATTCCTTCTGCAGAGCTGCTTTATGTCACACTCTCCTTGTCAGGAAGAAGTCAGGGGAGGGAGGAAGCTGTACAAGTCTGGACTGACATTTCAAAGACACAAGCACACAGACAGTCTAGCTTGTGTGTCGGCTACCAGCTGTACCAAGACCAATTAGGTTGTTCATTTGAGAAAAAGGTGTCAGACAAACAATAGCAACTAGGTGGCATCATTGCACATCATTCGGTAAGTAATAGTTTATAATTTATTTTAATCCATTTTAAAAGTGTCCTGTGATATCTTCTTTTAGAATTTAAAAACAAAATAAAACAAAACAAGCCAGCTACAGTTTTTCTGGACAGTTTAGCTACACTGAATCCATATACAATGGATCCACTTGTTTTCTCTTAGGCCCCTATGTGACCCACGGCTATTTGTTGATGGTTTAAACACCTGCTCACCATCACTCAATAAGTCAACATAACCACCCACCCAGCTAACTTCATGTGCCAACTCAAGTAAACATTAAAGCTGTATTTATTGAGGCTATGACGGTGGAGCTTTTGAGGACTTTTCTGCTTCCCTTAAGCTATTATCCAAAAACACAATATATCTATATCAATTGCCTGAGTATCAGAGTCTAGTGCTTAACATTTTCATTATTGCTTTCTTTAATTTCTCCTCCACCACTTCCTTCAGGTTTTACTTATATTGGCGTGGACTGTCCACAGACAAAAAATAACACAATGACGCAAATTGACCGGGGGTTGAGGCCTCAGCTTAACACTTTGTTCTCGTATTTACAGTAGGTTGGATGTTAATATTAAAAAGGTGTTTGTAGGTAGATTATACTTGGACTGATGGCAATAGAGAGGCTTTGTTCTGTTGGCTGCTGATCTTGCTCTCTCTCTAGGGCATATACACTGAGATCAAAACCTTAACAGGCTGGAGAGGCACTCACCATTGGCAACGTAGGTGATCTTACAAAGGATGTTGTCTCTGCTGATCTCTTTATCACCCTCTGGTGGGCTGACCAGCGTTTGGCAAATCATAGCAACATTGATTTTGGCACGAACACACCGGTTTGTGGGCTGAAAGTAAAGCAAAAATGTAAATGTAGACAATCCCCAAGCGGCCATACATTTCACTGTTGCTAATTTGAAAGAGTAATTGAGGTTATGAGGTCTAGAACTATTCTTTCTTCCATTTATCCATACAGAGGGCCATATAAAAAAGCCTTGTTTGACTAAGCTACAACTGTAATTATATGCTGTAATGAATCAAATGCATTTTTAATCACAGTACTTGGATGCCTCATACACTGGGAAAATGTCAAAAATGAATAAATAAGAAATGCATACAAAAATAGGCCAAGCAGTATAACTAAATAGTCGTCAGCTCACTAGCTGCTCACTTGCAATGTTGCATTATAGTAGTAAGTGTAATGTAGTACTCTTACAAGGGCTTTGTCGTGTTCCACAGAGAAGTTGCAGACCAGCCATGTGTCGGGATCATTTTCGTTTGTTGCCAAGATCTTTCTGATTGCTGACAGATAGAGCACATCTCTCTGAGACGCAGGCCACACTCTCTGAAACACAACCAGAGGCATTCAGTTGCAAATAAAATAGGCTGCAGAATATTACTGATCAAATGTGCAACACAGTCCTGCAAACATCTAAAACTACCACAAAGTCAATATACCTTGTGCGTCTGGTAAACAATGACGGCATTATCAGAGAGAGATTCCACAACGTTGAAATTTTCAATGGTGGCTGAGGGAGGAAGAGTTCAGTCAGGTTATGACATTAAAACAGAGAAAGTCAAACTGTGTTGATGTGATGGTGTCTTCAGAGATAGTGGACTTACTCTCCCAGTCCAATCGGACATCTGTGTCCCAGAAGTAGTGGCAGACTTCATGTCCTGTCACCCCCTTCACAGAATGTGTAGCTTTTAGAGGATCCAGCACAATACCATTCTCCTCTACTTCTCTCCTGTACACCTGTTACACAAAGTACAGAACAAATGGAAGGTCATATCAGTACTACAAACATATTCATAACCTCGCTACAAAACATACCCTGAAGGTTCCTCTTAATTCTACCAGTGACGGATAACTTGATCGGATACGAAACTGATCTGCATGGAGTATTTTATTTAATGCACTGGTTCTAAAACCCACTGGACCTTTAAGTAAAATAAGTCGAGGTAACTTATTTTATGGAGTTAATGGATTCATTTTCAATTATGGCATGAATTTTACTTCAACTTAAATACCTGATTAGTTCTTCCACTTCCATTAGCTGATAAATGTTCCCCTGTTTCTGATCTATCAATGCTTCTACTGCAACCAGTTCCATTAAAAAAAGTGAATGAGATTTAAATATTCACAGCTAGCAATCAAGGGAAATGATTCATAGCAGCTTCTCTCCTCTGTACTCACCTTCATCTCTCCTTCCTCTATTACCAGCTGCCAGTTGGCATCTCCACCCATGTCCTGAAGAGAGTAAGTCATATGATTCTGCACCATCTCCTCCACCTAAGAGACAGATTACATTTTTTACATTAGACCCTTTAAATGTTCTTTGCCTGCCTATTTGAGGACATGCTTTGAAACAAGACACAGTTTGTGGAAGAGAATGAACTGCACAATACATGATTAATAAGTTAGTCTTGAGCAATGGATCACACCTACCACCTGTCCTTTGTAATACAAAAGGTTTTGATAACACCATTGGAGGCAAACAGAAAAAAATATTTCCCTCAGAATATTAAGAATTCCTTAAGAAAATATGTTATCCACTGAGCAATAACCAAAAAAATATTTGAACACTTGATCCTGCTTGGGGCTGCTATTCAACATCCCAAAAATGCATTAAGTACACAGTGCAGTCTGGATTCATGCCTGCTCATGCTGTGGAAGATGGAGCAATGCGAGGAAAGGAAATGAAGCGGTTTCACTAGATTCCAGTCATGCAGCATTAGACTAACTATATTTTTGTCAGTGGTATGATGACAACCGTTATGTGAGACAACCTGTTAGTCACTCCAGCAATGTCAATTTTATCCACTCAGGTTTTTTTGTTAGTGCATCACAAAATACTATAAAGCCTTTGGTGTAAAAACCTAAAATAAATATTCTACTTCAAACAAAGGAAATGTTAGCTAAAGCCTGGAGAGACTGATTAGAAGGCATTCTCATGCTATCTGCTCATGCACCCTCTGCCTGCAGTGGAAAGCATTCGCATCCCCCTGCAGATGCAGGTGCTTGCTGTTGACAAAATACAGTACCTGAGCGCTGAATCTGTGAATGTCATCTGAAGCACTGACTAGCTCAACGGAGGACAGGGAAGAAGAATGGCTATGCGGCTGTACAGCAGAGAGGAAGATTGAAAGAGAAAAGAATAAGGAACAAAACAGAAAGAAGCCCCACTGCAGCAGTTAAGAGGAAACAATAATGACCTGTGTTCAAGTAGTATTTCATATGAAAAATGTTACGTAAGCTCTCAAATTACTGCAAAAAGCACAAACTGATTCTTTGTGTGAACAGATTTAGGCGAAGCATGGAGACATTATGAGAAAGTGTCAGCACACAAGTTGCGGTTGCAGAGCTTTATAGGCAGATCACACTGGTTGTAAGCTTACTAGGCTTCAGACAGAAATGTTGAGTAATTGCAAACAATAAATTAAATTAGAACAAAGTAGAATGGAAATAAGATGTATATTTAAGAGAAAAAAAGAAATGTGTTTTGCACCTTGGTGGCAAATCGATGTGTACCGATGGTGGAGTAGGCGTCTCCAGGAGGAACTGGAGTTAGTCGAGGTATCCTGACCTTCTCTGACTGGCACTGAGGGACAGAGAGTAGGAGTTTGGTAAGAGAGAGAATATTAGAGAAAAGCAACATCTCTGTGTGCAATTTATGAAACTGGGCTTTAGTTCACTTTGAAACACATTTAAACAAAGCAAAGACAGATAGAGGCAGAGAGAAAGATAAGGAAGGAAGGACCAAGAGAGTTTCTATAATAAATGTGGAATTGTTGTCTACATACAAACGTTTTTAATATTTTCATTGTGCAAGAAGAATAAGTTTAGATCTTGGTCTCACCTGTTCCTCTATCTTGTCCTGTCGGTCCAAAGCAGCTTCCACCGCATCAAAGAACTCATCTTCATTGATCAGGCTGTTGGGACCCTCCTGTGGAAAGCAAATGTTGGCAGCAATATAAGAATCCTGCGAGAACTGCCTTGCAAAAAATTACAGAATGATAAAAAATACACATGCCAAAAGACATGGGACAGAGTTAAGAATACATTCTAATGTGGTTTATCTAGCCATTTCTAATCCATTTATTTTATCCAGTTTCATCTTGCCTCGTAGTCTGGGCCTCCGTAGTGTGACTTTTTCTTCAGTTCATTCATAGCAGACTTGTAGGCATCTTCAATCCTCCTCCTCTTCTCTAGCTCCTGAACACACAGAGAGAGCACCAGGGCAGTTAGTGAATCTGTATTAAACAGTGACAGCATGAAATTAGAAACAACCATAAAAAAATCTGCCTTGCACCTGTTAATCTTCAACATTAGACAACAAACTAGAGATGTCACAAGAACCAATACTTCCATACCAAGTCGATGCCAACGATTTGAAAACATGACAATACTCGTTTTTCGACAGCACCGTAAGTGCTGGGAATTCCTGACCTGATGGCGCTCCTCCTGTACAGTAATGACAGTCACACTGCTCTGCAGAGACACACAGAGACAGACGCTCTCTTGCACAGATACAGTGTTTATTTTGCCAGCACGGAGCAGGTAAAGATTACAAGTAAACAGCAGTGAACACATCGGCTGGTACCGACTTCTTTCGGTACCACGATGGTTTTGATTGTTTTGATAGTCTATGTCATTAACAATGATCAACACGTGGCCCACCTGCTGTTGTTAAAACGAAAACAGAAATTGGGTGACTATAAAAGTTACTGCTGAAGAAAGTCAAAGACACAGACACAGAGAGAGAAACAGGGAGAGGCGGGATACCTGTGTGTGTGTGTGTGTGTGTGTGTGTGTGTGTGTGTGTGAAAAAGAAAGAAACACACACAACAGAGTAGGTCTGTACATTGGTGAAAAAGACTACTGAAAGGAAAAGTAAGGTGAGCAGAAAAACATTGCTTGTGAGTTAAGTAGTGAAATAAGTAAATAAGTAAACATGCATTGGTAAAGGGGGAACTGTTACTGTTTTTGTCACGTTCTTAATAAAAGGAGTGTATATTGAAGTATATGGGATTCATTATTTTGCTTTTGTGCTTTCGTGGAATTTCACTGGTATTGGCATCGAGTCAATCGACTACTACATTTCTTTCTGGTATCATGACATGCAAAAAAGGTATTCATTGTTAGTGTCAGAGAACATGCTCATTTGATCAGATTACAGCTGATAAAAGTGGCAAAAAAGGTCTGCATATTACAATAAAATCAAGGAAACCCACCATGTACCATCATGCAGCTGTGTGTGCATTCAAACAGGTTTTACCTAATATCTTGTGCCCAGCCAGAGGATAGAGACAATGGAAAACTAAGGAGGTTGGATTATCTTCCAATGGTAGACCAACTGTTTTCACCATCTATTACTTTAAAGCACAGAAACCTCAAAAACCAGCCAACAAAATGTTGCCTCTTTGTGAGCGCAAATGTACCCAAATACAATAAAATGTACTATTCAGACTGAAGCCTGACACTGCACAAAAAAAACTGTTCACATTTCTGATGCAGTGGATCTACACTGCGATAAGAGAAAGCAAGCTAACAAAAGCAATTGTGGCTAAAAGGTATACTGTGATATAAAGTATTCTCTTAAAAATAATTAAACAGAGGAACCAGAAAGAGACGACGAAACCAAACAAAGTTTACAGGAAGGTGTGGACATGTAACACCTGGTCCAAAATAAACAAGATGTGATCCTGTTCTTAGCTGTGTGAAATGACATGACAGACAGACAGACAGACAGACAGACACCTACTTTAAAGAAGTGGCTACAGGTCTGTAGAGGTATCCATCTCTTTGTCTCGTATTTGAACAGCTCTGTCCTTCTTTGAAGCGGAGGCTTCCACAAACTGCACCATGAAGTCCGAGTAGTCATTTTCGAATTCACTCTCTGTACGAGTCTGAGCAGTGTTCTACTATTTCTAGTTCCCTACTCCACATTGGCAGTAAATCTTCACACACATCACCAAACACAGATAAGATTGAGCTACTTTTACTCGAGCAGTCAAACTAACTGAAAGCACTTCCCGGGTTGAGTTGGATTTAGGGTTGGGCAGCACACCTTTTCACACAGAAAAAAAAGAAAGAAACTGGTTTGACAACATCAGCTGAGCTGATCAGGATGTAAGCATGAGGAGCTCTGAAGAGCATACCTTTACGGACACAGCCGGCTCTCTAGATAAAACAAAATCCATCAATGGAAGAGAGTTATGGGAACTCAAACCATTCTAATACAAACAAAACAATTCAAATAACAAAGGGTTAAAGCTCAATGTTAGCAACAGGTGAATGTGTGCTTCTGGTAAGCAAGTCTGACTGTTTTGAAAGTAATATGTTCATTGAGTTATACCATTAATGTTACATTATTTGATACAGCTGATTTACATTAACTACTTGTAAACCAGGTATATATAATGACAATGGCTGCCTTTCAGTAAGCTGGACTATGAAATTAGAGGACTCTTCAACAGTTATTTTCCAACGCTGATTAAGCACACATTCTTTAACACCATGTTGCTTTACAGTGTCAACTGACAGTTGAACAGGGAGCTATATTGCGAAATGCATTGCTACAGGCACCTTAACATTTCCCACAGAGAATATATTGAGAACTTAACTGAAAACAACAACAAACGGACACAAATTACTTTACAAGATGACGTTTACTAAAAGTTACAAAAAAAAAAAAAGAATACGTAAATATAATATGAAGTCGCAAATATCCGGAAACAACCTTAACCCATATCAAATCTCACATAACCACGGGAGAGTTTAACAATAAGGACTAATAAAAGCCGATCTGAACTACATCTAAGGAATCGAGACTTGTCTAAGCTGTTCATTCATACAGCATCAACATCACTATCAACATTAAAAGCTGACCGTTTTACATACTAGAATCATGGCTAGACATTTGGACAGCAGAGTGTTGCACCACATCCTCGTCACCTGAAGAACAGAGCCTAAAAACACCAAACTCTTGGTCATAATAACCACCTCCTTCAAAGACAATGGAAGGCAACAAATAGCTCCACAGTCTGCGGACACACCCACTTAAACTGTTTATTACACTGCACATGACACATCACACATCACACACTGTGAGTGACATGTAATTTAATTAATGTGTGTAGCATGCAAAACTATACCTTGTCGAGTCTCTTCTGCCAGCTGTCCTCCCGTTTGACCATCAGTTCGATGCAGTGGGACAAGGTAGAGAGGATGCCTGCTGTGGTGGCCTTGAAGGTGATGGCCTCACCCTTGAAGTCTATCCCGTTCATACCTTTGGGACTGGCAGGGGAAAACACTGGCACAGGCAGATGGACATTACAGACGTTTACATTAAAAAGGAATCAGTTATCACAAGGCCAAGTGACCAAAATGTATTTCTACACAGATATTCTAAATTGAAGAATTTCAGATAAACTCACATTTCTCTTTGCTGCCATTGTTGTTGTGATTATATTCACCCGCGTCTGGTCTAGTAGGAAATTCTTCTTCATCCTCCTCTACTACTGGTAAAAAAACAACAGCACTCTCAGATCTGTCTACTGTCTACCCGTCAATACATACAATAGTTTAACATTTTCAAACCTATTCAACAGGGATAGTTGTATGCTTGCTACAACTAGCAAGCTACTTCTTCTTAACTGGACAATTGTTGATTACACAAATACAAAATGTCTAGCAAAAAAAAAAGCATCATCCAGATTAAACTACATGTTTATTCAATCTACATAAAAGAGCAAGTTCAATTTCTTCCCACAAAGTGCCCTGGAACTAGATATTGATTTTTGTTTGTCAAAGAGTCTTACCAACCACTCCCTTTAAACTCTGATACTGCATGAACTAAGTAAAGAAGCTCCCCATCTAGAAATTCTTTCCTGTAAACATCAAGACTAATTCTTCCTTACCATGTCCATACTGCTCAAATATCAGATTCCTTTGAAGGGTAAAACTAACCAATTTAAGACAAATTCAAAACATATTCAAACTAAATCTTTGACACAATACAAACTCCATAACAGTGCATCTGTGCCACAGGTTACCTCTGTCTCTCTGAAATTCATCTTTGGAGACATCAGCACAGGAGTCAAAGTATTTTTGCAGGGTGTCCACTTGTCTGCACAGAATGTCCCGGAAGGTTTCCATTTCTGCTAGCTTCTCACGCAACCTGTGCCCCTTCTGAGCAGAGAAAAACAGAAGAGATGCAATCAGAGGCTGTCAGGGAAAGAGTCCCTTGCTTTAACCACAAACCAAGGTCTCACACTTGACATTCTTACAAATGTTATATGTATTTACAACAGATGTAGCCTTTAGTTGGTATTTTAGAAAGTTTTGTATATTTGGCCAAAGTTTAAATGTATATTGATGGAAATACTTAAGGGAGGACAGGGAAGGACTGAGAATTTGACATGATTACTATTTATGATACTAGTGTTCAACATCTTCAAAATCTTTTTTTTTTTTTTTTTTACCTTGAAGGAGGATGTGGATGTGGCAGACAAGGCACTGGCTGCTGAGGTGAGAGACAACATGGAACCATGACGCCTGAGACTGGTTTCTGAACCATAACCAGACTCTGCCTGAAATCGAGAGAGAGGGATTGAAGGAAATAGAGGAAAGAAAGAGAATGCGGGAAGGAGAGAGTATGATAGCAAAGAGTGGGCAACAGAAGATCAGTAAATGGACAAAACACATTAAACAATCTGTAATATAATAAGAAAGTCTGCAGTTCATAAAAAATAGAGCGACAGAGAGAGGGGGGGATCAATTCTAGCAGTCAGAAGCACTGAGTAATGCTGAGCTCGACCAGAGCATGACCTACACCTACACAGACAAACAGACTGTTGAAAAGGACTGGGGCTGACAAATACACACATGTATCAACCCAGCCAGTAGACCTGATCCTGGTAGGTGGTTTAGAAACAGTGGAAATAAATGACACTGTACTGCAGAGTGTACAAATCTAGGCTTGACTGCAACTTTCTGGAGGAAAATACTGTTTATACCCATTAGTACATGGAGTGTGCTGTCTCACATGGCAGTATAAAACATATCTACTGTATGAACAGCCATTAGGGTGTGGCAGTGATAGCATTTGTTCCATTAAACAGCCAACTTATGACTGCGCAATGACTGGGTGACGCCTGTGACTGCCAACTCAGGGTGACAGAATTTTATTATACACTTTGTATGTGCGAACCACACCAAAGCAAAATATTCTTGTCTGTGCCAAATGTGGCTCTTGACTGTTATCCACAGACAACAAATTCATGACCAAACATTAGTCCCACACTTGAATTCATACCTTTACTCAACTAGTAGAGACATTAAAGAAGAGCTAGTGCGACTGAAATTCCTTTATGTATGAATCAGGACCCTAACATGCTGGTGGTATGTTTTATGAGTCTAAATATATTTGCTAAGGTTTACTCATGGGCTTAGGGAGTTATTTTCCTCTTCATTATCAAAGTAACATTTGTTTTTGCCGTAGTCCACAATTAATATATTCCTGTTTTCATGCAGAAGTATTTCTTAAGAACAGTGAGCAAACTAAACAGTAAGTCAGGTGACAAACCCGAGAGAGAGAGAGCAAACATACATTCCTCTGCTAGATGATCTAACAACACTAACAACAGTGTGACTGACTGGGAGAATTGACACTACTGGACAGTGAGCTGAGTGGTAGGCTGTTAAAGACCAAGTCAACAGAAAATAAAGTCTCACTTAACAGGTACAGTAGCTTTACATTCATAAAATAAAATAAAACTAATTTCATTCATTACAGTTTGATTCATTTTTACCTTTTGTCACAGCCTACATTTCAAACAGCTGGGCAGTTACATGGGTAAATAAAAACTTGACAAAAAGTGCTACGGACCAAACGCTGTTCTTACAACACTATCACTAAAGAATCGTATCTTCTGTAGTTTAATTCTCTGATCAGACTGAGATATTGCACATTTTGCTGAAATCCTTGTTCCTGTATTGCTAGTTTGGGCAGCGAGAAGAAGAGGCAAAGCAATACACTGATGAAACATGAAGACCAATCTGTGACAGCTCCAGAGATTGCCATCTTTATGCACCTGGTCAGCTGCATAACACAGCCATGCAAACCAAACACCCACTCATACACAACACATAAAATGGCATCTTGTGCCCACGGCTTTGTGATGGTAATGAGATAAGTGTAGAGTAACTGACCATAGCAACCACTGAGTGCTTTTTAAGCATCTGAGCACATTTGTTGTGAAATCATCTCCCATTAAAACCACTGGTTGTTTAGCACACAGCCATTCAGCATAAACTTAATCTCTAAAAAAATAAAAAATAAAAAAAATAATGAATGATTTATAGCCATGACTGACATGCAGCAGAGTCCAATGCTTAAGCTAGCCCATTAGTGCTACTGTGAACAACTGCACACATGCAAATAGATCTTTGCAATGTTTTGTCGACAGCAAAGATAGGTTAAGTTCATTAATCATTCATGTCTCAACACAAAGCATGCTAATTTTAAGACTTCAGTGAAGAGTGACAATGAACGAGCAGTATGCCAACATGCTAGAAGCCCACCATTCGACCATTCCAACACCCAAAGCAGAGCAGGACACTGCTGCAGTCCCGGCGATTTGCTGGCCCCAACATGGCCCAGACGCTGCCCCAAAACTCCCACTGTTCTGACAATTCAGAGGCTTAAATCCAGTATTCCCATTTCCCCGGACACACCTCACTGAGGAACAAAAAGGGAGAGGAGGAGGTGGAGAAGAAAAGCCATACAGACTCAGCTTAGCACATCTAGTACATGAAAGCAGCTATAAGAGAGGCGGAAGAGGAAAAAGTCATTTGCTCTATAGCCTCCAGAGGAGAGGCAGACACTAGCTGTTCCATGAAGCAGAAGAGACAGACGGAGCCAAAAGGATGAGTCTTGCAATTCCTCGGAAGAGAGAGGCAGGTCTGCTTTCAGTCAGATCTTCCGCAGGCACACACGGACTGAAAGACGCACACGTACATGCACTCCACTCTTGCTGTATTTATCAACAGACCACACACACCCTGATATGTGAAACCTTTTCATCTCGTCCATCTTTATGTCCAGCATCCATTACTGAGCAAACAACTGTGACTGTGTGTGTTTGCATGTAAGAGACAGAGCGAGAGGGAGGTAAAAATGAGGGGTGCATGCATGTATGCATTAGAGAAAGGGGGGGGGGGGGGAGCGAGAGAGTGAAAAAGAGGGAGAGAGAGAGTAAGAGAGTAAGAGAGAGAGACAAGGGCTGTCCGGAGCTGTTTGTGTGACAGACCACCTAAGTACCAAATGGGTGGGCAAGTGAAGCAGCCGACTGTAGATTATGAAAGAGAGAGAGAGACGGAGAGTGGGAGGCAGGGAACAATATTTGTCTGGATCTTCTGTATTACTTCTATCTACCTTACTCTCCTTTTGTGCTATCTTTTGACAATATCCCCTTGTGAAACCTGATATAGGCTAATAGGGTTCAGACTGTGTCAACAACCAGCCTCAAGAGGCGGTGGAAAAACTAAGAATAAATACAAGGGGTTTCCCCCATTCCCTCCCATATCACCCCTCTGAATCTGACAGAATGGAACAGTCTTCTCAGTATGATCGAGAGTTTTATGTGTCCCTCTTGATTTTTGTTGCTGTGAGAACAGGCGATTAAAAAAATGCATTATTCATCAAGAGCTGCACTTTACGTCCCTACATTTCACACGACTTTTTCCACCACCAACACAAACACACCCACACATAAAAACACAATGGACTTGCACAAAAAACTGCTTTTTTTCCCTGTACAAAAACAGTCTAATTTGGTAACATGGATATGCAAATGGTGGTTTGCGTTTGCAAAGTGGCTTATAAGAGGCATTTAAAAGCTGTAACCATGACTTGTTTTGATATATAAAATACACATATAAAAGCACAATTATAGTTGTTAGATACTGACATAAACTGTGTATTAAATTGGAACAGAAAATGCAAGCCCACAACACCTCAAAAAGTAGTATTAAAAAGTTGAATTGAATCTATCTATGCCAAAATAACTTAATGCTGGAAGAAGGAAGTTTTAAATTAAATTACTAGGAACAAACACAGATTTGATTCTGATTTCTAATGATAATTTCAATGTTAATTTTTCAGCATTGGGAATGGAAAATAAAACTACAAATTAAATTAATTTGTACATTTAAACAAAGAAACAGAAAAGTGACACTATTCTAAGGCTACACCGGTTTATGCACTCTTGGGTCCTGACACAAAGATTAAAATCAGAGTGTAAGTAGATTGCAAGATTGTACGATGCAAACTCTTCCTTGTCCAGCTGGGAGCAGTGCAGACACAATCACTTATGGCAATACTGCAGGTAGTGCTGCATTAAGCTCACTGAGGTTACTGTAGGTCACAATCCAGACATAACCCTGAAAAATACTCTCACACAGTTGTTAATGGAGTAGAGACCTGCGGTCACTCACACTCCGCTGACATGCCAACACCCAGTAGCACAAACGAAACCATCCATTTTAGTTGAGAAGCTGGCCTAATGAGAATTCACAGGATAGTGATTCTGTTTCCAGGGGTGGTATATTTCTGGTGGTCTCTCAACTACACTGTTCTTATGGGGTAAACTCAAGAAATATTATTTAATAATTACATAATTCAGATCACTAGCGAGCTGTCAATGTACTGTCTCTCACTCTCTCACACATATATTTCACCAGAAGGCCCAGATAACACACATAATTCACCCACTGTCACAGTACAAACACACACTGATTGATATTACTCAAGTTTATGTACTGTCTTTCTGAACACTGTATAAGCAAATCAATTACACCAATAAAACTAAACAGGTCATAGTTTAATATTTAGGGCATATTAATACAAATTCAGTAAAGTGTAGCTATCTGTTTTGGATAGATTATGGCATTATATGTTGCACAGCACTTATTTTGTAAGCCATGACAACATATCTAATGTGTTTTACAAACTTAATGTTGAGAAAACATTACTATGCATCATTAACTAGACGTCACTGAAGCTGTCTTGTATCCGATGACAGGGGATACCCCCCATCTCAACACCTCACTCCTTAGATTCCTCACATTCCCAGGGGGGAGGGCTGCGTGTGTGTCTGTGTGTGTCTGTGTGTGTCTGAATCCCTGTCCTGCCACACCCAGCTAACTGAACAAAACAGATAACTCCCTGTCTGTTCTGAAAAGCACACTGACCCTCAATTGAACCTGAATACCAGAATAATGTGAATAATGCAGCTAAATAATAGTTTCAGTGGGTGATTTGGCACCCCAAAAACTAATCAAATATTTATTATGGCTTAGGAAGTGAGAAGATATGGCAATAAAAAAAATTGTTTTGACTCTTGACGAACACCAAGCAAATGAAAAAAGTCCCTGAGCACAACAGGAACTACATTCAGGCACACTGAGCATCTGTAGTGTTAATTAAACTATAACGGTAATACCACTGACTTGCTTGCAGGTAGGAAAAACTCCCATGAATAATACAGTCTGTATGACAAGCAAACAAAAGGTGCAAAAAGAAGCAGGCGGGGGGAAAAAACAGAAATATAGGTTGTAGGAAAAAAATCTGTTCCACTCACCTTGTGCAGCTCTATAGACTCAATCCACTGGAGTCTGTGCTCGGGATCTTCAGCTCTGAGGTACCAAACACTGTCATTCACGCTGATGTCAAAACGACACTCATCAAACTCATGAGGCTGCACGGAGAGAGAAGAGAGCTCATGAATAGTTACTAGGCAAAGTGCATGAGTCATGTCAGGAAATACTGCCATAATCTGTATTTGAATACTGAAATACAAAAAAAAAAAAAAAAAGAAATCAATGTAACATTTTTCTCTAATTCATTAAAAATCAGAGAGGAATCTGAGCAAAAATGTAGCTTCTACGGTAGTTTGTGTTTTTGACACTGGCTCAGTAGGGATGACACATTCTGGACACACATGGATTCCATCAGTCACAGAAAAGCCTCTGCTACACAATAAACAGGAATTTTAATTAGAAACTGATGTCTTATGTCTGCAAGCAAAACCCTAAACGACCGCAGCAAAGCTGTGCAAAAAAAAAGTTTTTCTCAGCATGTCTTCGCCTGAACCTGGGTCATCATAACTTTTGCTTCTACTATTGGGCCAGACCTTTCAACTATTTCACTCCCCCGTTCTACAATGCACCCCACCCAGCTCCAACCACTAACAGCCTTAGGCACCCAAACACGTGCACCAAAGAATTCTGTTTCCTCTGAGATTGGAATTTGACCACGGCATTCAGCTGAGAGATCTGCTCTGCAAATGTTCCTAATAAGAAATGAGACACAGTCGACTTGAATCTCTTTTCCGTTTTTCTCCTCAGTGGCAGCAACCAAGACTACAGTTGCTCTATCAGCTGATACAACCTCATGTTGCCTAAGTTTAATTAGATTTGCTGAATGACGCTCATGTGCTGGTTTATTTGCTGCCACTGACAACAGCGACATACACTCTGACTCTAAACATCAACTGTGCATTACTTTATGCAACATTGCCTTTAAAGTTTAAAACTAGTCTTACAAGTTGCATATATGGGATGCTGACAGGTGTAAGGTTTTTTCTGACCCTTACACGCTTTCTATTACAGTCACCAACAACCTCAGGGCAAAGGTTTCCTCTCAGAAACAGGTGAAATGCCCTCCAGTTTCAGAATTCCACAATAAGAAGGGTCATGCAACTGTAACCCCAAGTGCATCCAGCCATGTTGTCATTACTGGTTAGAGGAATCCAGTCTATCTTACTGTGCTGTATCAGACACGGCCCATAAAGCTCTGCTTTACAATCCAGTTTATACCTCTTTCATTCTGCCAGGGACAATCTCCTTCCCCTTACGTAAGCACTACTGAGCATCCATGCCGCACTGGCTTTTTTCTGTGTATTGGACTGTGGCATCTTCAGTGTTAGGAAAGAAGAGGTTATCAGTCGAACACTGATAGTCATAGTTCTCAGAAAAGACATCTAAGACTTCTTCTCCATCTTTAAACTAGTGTGTGCGCATGTTTGTATTTTAATTAAAACAATAACTAACACAATAAATATATGTTTAATATTATCTAAATGAATTTGCTCTGTGCAGAAATATACAACTGACAGGAAGACAAAAGCTTGAACTGATGTGAGCTTTTGATAATGGACCTGGGCCTGCGATAGGAATTTTCACACAGTAACATTTCCTGCACAATTTGCTTCCGTCTGAGGACAGTCTGGTGCGGGTCCGCAGCTACATAGTGTGTAACAGACTGATGTTAGGCAAGGAGAGCAAGGGCTTGTTTCTGCATTCCTCAGTGCTCAGACCACGGTCTCCTTAGGAAGCACTGGCCTTAGATATTTCGGAAGAAGGGAGAGGCAGCAAGAAGAGACAGTGTGGGTCATACTACATTCATTATTAGTGAGAGCATGGAGTAATCAAACTGTGCACACTCTTACTTACCCTAATATAACACAATTACAAAACACACTGAATGTCTTGTGGAGTTCCATTCAGGTCTGTACAAACACAGGAATTGGTGTAATGCTCACACAAATGACCACTCTCGAAAGTGGAAACTAACTGCAACCTGTCATGTTGTGGTTTTAATCCCGTTTTCAGTCATATAATCCTATTGAACAAATCACAGTGAAACCATTTGTTTGGCCTCTGTACTTGGTGGCGGTATGCTCAGAGAGAACAGTGAATATTTAACCAGGGTGTGGGATTTCCGCTTATCTTACCAACAAGAGGCCTGCATAGGGAGAGTAATACAGGTCCCGTTTCTACAGTATGTGGTCAAAGCTTACATTGCTGTAGGGCACAGAAATTTTAAATTGCCTGCGCAATAACTGCCAATGGTCGGAGATGTATGAGAGTTTTCTCGAATGACTCCTGAAGCAAGAATGTATAGGTCTGCTAAAATACAGACCACCGCCTTACCTGTAATCTTAATAACAGCCTCATTACTAGTTAATGTTTACCTCCGTATCCCTGAGGAACGTGGATTCAAGGAATTAAAGTTCAACTCTACGCTAATGACAGGGAAAGACAGGATCAAAACATTGAAACCTGCGCCAGAGGTAACTCTAGACCGAGAGCACTGATGCAGAAAATTAGGCCTTTCATGGTCTCACCATGTTATGAGCTCTTACTCCCTGAAATACTGAACAGGTGCTAAGCTCACTATGCTTACTAGTGCAACAGACAAGGACAGCAGCAAAGTGATGTTCCTTCCTCATACCATGGTAAATACTTACTGTTATAACAGCTTTGCTGAGGCACAGAGACCCCCTGCAGCCGTATTCTCGTTCATCCTCCGACTTGTAGTAGCTCAAGGTATTGTTTTTCAACACGACCCATCGATCCTGCCATCCGTGTATGTAATTTGTCCACTGTAAACACACAAGAGGTACAAAACAATCGGTTAGCTGCGCTGTGCAAGTAACAGATCCGCTGCACCCTTTGCCTAAAATGATGTGTATGCAGTAGTTGATTCTGCTTTTACAGCTCATTAGTCAAGTTCACATGGCTTTTTAAACCAGTAGTGTGTCATCGAGACACCCAAAGATAGAAGTTATATATCTGCAGGATGAAACACTGTCACAGTCTGCCTTGGTTTACCTTGCTTAAAACGCCTCCGAGCTCCACAGGCTGTCCGGATTCCGGGTCCACATCCTCTTCCGAACCGGACGATGAACTCTTTTCGGACATTTAAATCCAAGCTTCAGCAGTAAAAACTTGAATTTAAATGTTAACGCTAGCTGCTGGGTTGGATCAGTTCAAAACGCGCCACAGACTAACCTGCTGACAGCTTCTCTAACTTAGCTTTAACCTCAGCGAAATAACGTTAATTGGGCATTAACAGGGTGCATTAAACATCAGCTGAATAGCGGACTTTATCTTCGGTCGGTTGACAGACTTAAACCCCGGCTAGCTTGTCTTGCAGCAAGCTATTCTGGAGGTGACAGCTGAGTCTCAACTTCTCGGGGTGTTTTTTTTTTTTGCGGGCTTTGTTTTGAAACTGACGTCGAATACCAATGAGACTAGCTAGTTAGCGTTAGCCGTCAAAAACGACGCAACTAGCGAACATTAACTTAACCAGAAACTTGGGTGAGTGGTCCGGTTAGCTACCTTAGCTGCAGTCAGTAAGCTACTCCACAACGAGGGATCGATAAAGAGGCCTTCGTGTAAACGCTGTACCCCAACTTCAAGCTACAAATGACGAGCAACGGACTGTATCACTGCTGTAGTTCCGCAGTTTAGTTAGCAATAGCGGCGGACTGACGAGTGGCTCGTCTTCATTCAGGTCGGAGGGGGGGGGAGGAGCTGCAGCCACGCTCGACTGTGTACCTTATAGAGAGCGGCGTCAAGGTAAACACAGTAACGGCAGCACCGGAAGGTCTACACGTCTGCTTTCAAAATAAAATCGATTTTTAAAAAAAAAAGAAGAAATTTCATATAGAGATTGCAGTTTAATAGGAATATCGTACCAAAAAGGATAGTGGGGGGTAATGTATATGTATTTTTTTTTTTTTTTGGATGTAGAAATGACACGAAATGTGGGGACTGCACACGGGTTTAAAGGACACAGTCCATTTAGAAAATACCAAATGGATAGAAGAGTTTTATTTTGGCGAACCCTACTTGGGATTTTGCATTAACACTAAAAGGCTAAATTGCAATAAAGGTGTTTTTTTTTTTTTTTTTGGGTTAAAACAAATTTCCATCCATTGTGTTTACTGAGGGCATTTATCAACGAGTTTTATTCTTTGAGATGTTCTTTAGTATTATCTGATTGTGTAGCTGCTGTGAATCCTAGATAGACATACTTCAAACAAGGACAAAGGTTACTTTGTTATGGTTATAATTATTCTTAATTAATCTCTTAATCTTCTTTTGTAGACTACTTTCTATATATCGTGTACGTTCGACACAATAAAGACATTTCCTGTATATTTTTATCTTAATTAATTGATTATTATTTTTTGTTTAGTTAATTATAATAGCCTTGGACTATACTCAAAACTTAACTGGAAACACTTTATTTTATTAGATTTGGCGTCTTTGACAGGGGATAAAAAAAATAATCTATTTAAGATTTTTGGTGCAATGTGATCTCAAATACCTAGTCAGTAATTTATATTTAAAATATCTTTTATTGTATTTATTTATTTATTTAAAATATCCTTTATTGTATTTATTTATGTATTTAAAATATCTTTTATTGTATTTATTTATTTATTTAAATGATCCTTTATTGTATTTATTTATTTATTTAAAATATCCTTTATTGTATTTATTTATTTATTTAAAATATATTTTATTGTATTTATTTATTTATTTAAAATATCCTTTATTGTATTTATTTATTTATTTATTTAAAATATATTTTATTGTATTTATTTATTTATTTATTTAAAATATCCTTTATTGTATTTATTTATTTATTTAAAATATCCTTTATTGTATTTATTTATTTATTTAAAATATATTTTATTGTATTTATTTATTTATTTAAAATATCTTTTATTGTATTTATTTATTTATTTAAAATATCCTTTATTGTATTTATTTATTTATTTAAAATATCTTTTATTGTATTTATTTATTTATTTATTTAAAATATCTTTTATTGTATTTATTTATTTATTTATTTAAAATATATTTTATTGTATTTATTTATTTATTTATTTAAAGATGCAATTAAGTCCCGCCCATTCCGGCGATGACGCACGTATGCGGAAGTGCCGCCAAAACCGTCATCGTCACTGTTTTCAAAACATGTCTGGACGTTAGACAGCTGAGCAGGGTTTGATTCAGTGCTGCTGCTGTTCGGAGTGAAAGAGTAAGTTTATGTAGCTGGAAAAGACGCATACACAATGGGAAACATAGCGACGATATGTCACAGGTTTATTAACAAACTTTAAAAGAGTGGAGGTCGTCCTAAATTGGACTTTACTGCCAAACAACAACAACAACAACAACAACAAACGACTGTTTTCCGATCTGTTCTTCAGGATGGAGAATGGGGCTGCATCCACTAAAGCAGAGGGCTTCCTCTCCAGAATGGCCCTCAATGACAACAAGGCTGGTATGGAGGGTCTGGACAGGGACAAGATCAACAAGATCATCATGGAGTCATCCAAGGTAGATACTACAACTCAAATAATTAGTCCTGTACAAGACACCATTAATACTCTTCATCTGCCACATGTTCTCCCCTGCGTCAATAATAATCTTAACAAATATGGGTGATGTATAGTGTGTGGTGGACAGGATGAAATGTAAGATCCACTGTGTCACATCCCCAGTGCAATGACACAAAAAGTCCTAAAAATAGATGTGCTATTATAGATTTTTCATTATCGCCTTGGTACAGAATCTGTAACTCTTTAGTATCCTTGTCATTTCCCTGCAGGGATCTAGGTTTTATGAGAATGAGCTGAAGAGAGAGCAGCAGGTGAACCAGCGAATTGAGAAAATGATGTTACAAAAGGCACAGATCACTGACCAACAGTTAAAGAAAGCACAAGCTCAGGTAAGACATGCTATGGAGGTAGCTGGCGTTGGTTTCTTTTTTTTTTTCTCTCGAGGTCACTCACAAAAACACATGCAGACAAATATACTATTAAATAAAAAAGCTACATATCCAAAATATCATTCTACTTAAGCGCTCCAATCTCTCCTTACAGGTGGAGAGGATGACCGCTGAGCTGGAGAGAAGCCGTGATCTAAGCCGTGTGATTGTACATGTGGACATGGATGCTTTCTACGCTGCTGTGGAGATGAGAGACTGTCCTGAGCTGAAGGACAAACCCATGGCTGTAGGATCCATGAGCATGCTGGTGAGCAGTTGTGAAAGTAATGTCTTAGATAATTAATGCTACTGTACTATACTGCACATGACAGATACATAACATTTAGACACAAGCAAAACAGGGTAGAAATTTAAAATATTCATTACATAGCACGTTATTGTGATTGTCTTAACCATGATTCTCAAAGTATAATGCAGCGACACTACAGTTTCTTAAATTACAGTGTTAGAATAAGTCTTTATAATTTTGCAAATAATATATATTGCCAAACACTTGAAATTACAAATTAATTTCACAGTTCATTGCTGTACTATTAGAAATCACAGATATTTAAACCAGTTCCAACGTTATATTATATTATTGCCTCTGTTAGTAAAGTGTTTTATTTAGATCTCACCATTTCCTTTTCAGTCAACATCGAACTACCATGCCAGGAAGTATGGGGTCCGAGCTGCCATGCCTGGCTTCATTGCAAAGAAACTCTGCCCCAACTTAGTTATTGTTCCAACCAACTTTGATAAATACCGAGCTGTGTGCAATGAGGTAAGTGTGATGGCAAAACACACAAAGAAATGAATTCACTTACCTCAAAACAAATGCAATGCAAAATTTTGCTTCAACAGTTGCTCATGAATTTGTATTTTTTTGTTAGATCCGGGAGATTTTTGCCGACTATGACCCTCACTTCCAGCCAATGAGCCTGGATGAAGCCTATCTGGATTTTACAGACCACCTGCAACAGAGGCAGAGCTGGCCAGATTCCTCACGTACACATCGCTTCCGTGCCAGCAGCACCGCTACAGGCAGGACTTAATTATAGCCTAATATAGAATGATGATTGTGTTATTCTGTGCAACTTTTGACTCTTTTACTGTAGACAGGAAACATTTCTGTTTCATACACTAGAAATCCGTCTGATTATTGTGTGAAATCATTTATTTTCTGTAAAGATGAAGAGCAGATTGAGCTTCCCCAGGAGCCAGAGATGAAAGACCTCTCTCCGGTCCTGTTTGAGGACAGCCCGAGCTCCTCTCCCTGCTTGCCGGGCTCTGAAGGTGTCAGTGCTGCTGGTGGTGCGTTTGAGGTGTTTGGGAAGTCTGTTGAGGAGGCCGTGAGAGAGATGCGCTTCCGCATTGAGCAGAAGACCATGCTGACTGCCAGTGCAGGTGAGGGAAAAAACACTCACATTACTAATAAAACACTGTCCTTTTTGTCTGATTTATGTCTTGCTATTGTCAAATATTTTACTTTTTAATTTGAGCTTCACAGGAGAATTATAGCATATACTCCACTAAGTTGATTCATCTTGCTCATGAACCAGGTCTAACTGCATCCTAGCAGAGATTTTTTTTTTGCCTCTCCTCCCTACTTTCTGAACAAAAGCAAAATGTAAAAAATATGAGGTGACCGGAACCAAAAAAGCTCCGCGAAACAAGAAAGGTGTCTCCCGATGGGTCGATGAAGAAAACATTAAAAACAGGGTTTTTTTTTTCAAAAAAAAAAAAAAGTTTGAATTTTTAAAAAAAAAAAAAAATTTAAGGGAAAAAAAAGGGGAAACCAACAAAAAAGCCCCCCCCCCCCCCCCCAAAAAAAAAAAAAAAAAAAAAAAATTTTTATAAAAAACCAAAAAAAATATTTTTCCTTTTTTTAAGTTGTTTTATTTTAATTTATTTAAAAAAATTTTTTTAGGGGTAATTTTTAAAATTTTTAATATTTAAAAAAAAAAAAAAATTTTTTTTTTTTTTTTAAAAAAAAAAAAAAATTAAAAAAAAAAAAAAAAAAAAAAAAAAAAAAAAAATAAAAAAAAAAAAAAAAAAAAAAAAAAAAAAAAAAAAAAAAAAAAAAAAAAAAAAAAATTTTTTTTTTTGTGTACACTAAGTGTAATTCATTCATTATAATGAAAGTCTGCAGTCTTTCCTGCACATTTTGTTTAGAATTATGATCCACAATATGTTTTACCAGCCATTCAGTTACAAACACACTATTCAATAACGCTTTTCACTCTTCTAGGAATTGCTCCAAACACGATGCTTGCCAAGGTGTGCAGTGACAAGAACAAGCCTAACGGCCAATACAGACTCCCTTCCACTAGAGAGGCGGTGATGGACTTCGTCCAGAATCTCCCAGTTCGCAAAGTACAGTACACATTGCTCAAACTAAAACATAAACAGAGCCTTGTGGTGTATGATTATGGAAAGATGTTAGAATGTAATCCTGAGTTTTTGAATTATTAACGGCTGACAGATATGGTGTAAAGTGACTAATGATGTGCTGCAGACAGGGGAAGGTGGTTGAAAGAAAATCTATGTCAATATTTAAAGACAGTAAAAATGTGTTTGTGTATCCTTTCAGGTTTCTGGCATAGGGAAAGTGAGTGAGAAAATGCTAAACGCTCTGGGCATCAGTAGCTGTTCTCATCTTGGTCAGCAGATGGCGCTGCTGTCGATGTTGTTTTCAGAGACAGCCTGGCATCATTTCCTGCAGGTTTCCCTGGGTCTGG